CCCCTGTCCCCAAAATAATAATAAAATAAAAATAAAAATACCCTTTATGCCACTGGCAGGACCAAGATGACCCTGAGATCCTCTTCCCTACGAATGCTGGGGCCAAGGGGCCAGTGCTGATCCTGTCCATCCGGAGCCATCCTTTTGTTCCACTACCACTTAGTGTCTACACCAAGGATATCATCATGGGCCCCTGGGCCCCACCCCTAGTGACCTTTCCAGGTAATAGAACATTCCCAGAAGCCCCAGTGGAGTGGTTGAAGAAGGGTGACCACTTCTGTTGATGGGGAGGAGACCCTCCCTGGTTTCCCCCAATAAAATGTGAAAACCAGGGACTGGGGATATAGCTCAGTTGGTGGAGTACTCACCTAGCTGGGTATGGTAGTGCACACCTGTCATCCCAGTGGCTCAGGAGGCTGAGGCAGGAGAATCTCGATTTCAAAGCCAGCCTCAGCAACAGTGAGGCACTAAGCAACTCGATGAGACCCTGTCTCTAAATAAAATAAAAAATAGGGCTGGGGATATGGTTCAGTGGTTGAGTGCCTCTGAGTTCAATCCTCAGTAACCCCCCCCCCTCAGAAAAAAAGTGAAAACCAGGGCTGGGGTGTAGCTCAGTGACAGAGCACTTGCCTAGCATGTGCAAGGCCTTGAATTCAATTCCCTGCAAGATGAAAAGCCATTTCTCTCATATGGGACCTGAGTGATGCAGACGTCCTGAGGCTGAGTCTGTTCATAGCTAAGAGTTTGGGGACGACCACATGATGCTTTCTCAGAGTTGCTCAAGCCCAGTTTAATTCTCCCAGGTTCTGGGAGAACCACCACTTTCTCCAGCTTCCTTCCTCTCTTTCTATTTTTAATTTTTTGCTTACGCTAATCCAAAGGGTATTTCAGTTACTTGCAAGCACAAGGACCTTGCATGAAACAATTATAATGACATCTTCTCACTACCATGAGAAGGGGGAAAAAAAAAAAAAAGGAATTTCCTTCTTGAGAAGTTTGGTACAACACGAACAGCTCCGGCTTCAACCATCTAAGAATTTCATCCAGTCAGTTGCCTTGGTGCAGGTTTGTAATCCCAGCAACTCAGGAGACAGAAGCAGGAAGATCACAAGTTCAAAGTCAGCCTCAGCAATTTAATGAAGGCCTAAGTAACTTAGCGATATGCTGTCTTTAATAAAAAAAAAAAAAAAAAAGAAAAAAAAGAAAGAAAGAAAGAAAGAAAGAAAGGGCTGGGGCTGGGGCTCAGTGATAGAACCTGGATTCAATCCCTTGTACAAAAAAAAAAGGTTTTTTTCATCATAATTCAAGATCTGATTTGAAGACACAACCAATTTGAACCAAAAGATGGGCAACCAGGAAATGACCTGGAGCCCTGTTGTTTGGAAATGGTCCATTTCTGGGCCTTAGTGATTCCACCAGACACCACCACTGTCTAAAGCACGTTGGAGGGCTGGGGATGTGGCTCAAGTGGTAGCGCACTCGCCTGGCATGCGTGCGGCCCGGGTTCGATCCTCAGCACCACATACAAACAAACAAAGATGTTGTGTCCGCCGAGAACTAAAAAATAAATATTAAAAATTCTCTCTCTCTCCTCTCTCACTCTCTCTTTAAAAATAAAAAAAAAAAATAAAAAAAGTAAGGGCTGGGGATGTATCTCAGGGGTAAGGTGCCCCTTACATAGAGGACAATTAACTCATGGAGCTCATGAATCCTCAGAACTGGTATCCACCAAAATAAAGAAGGCAGTGCAACACAGGTTTAGAGAAGGTAAAGGAAAATCATGCATAAATGATGATAACTGCCCACTCTGTGCCTCCACAGACATATATACATGTAAGTATTGGCAGGGGCTTGATTTCGGGACCCCTGTGGATACCAAAACCTGAGGATGCTCAAATCCCTTATATAAAATGGTCTAATATTTGCATAGAACCTACACATATCCTCCTGTGTATGTTAAATCATGTCTAGCTAGATTCTTTACACCTAATATGATGTAAGTGCTATGTGAATAATTGTTACACTGTATTGCTTAGGGAATAGTAAATCCAAGGATGGAACCCATGGATACAAAGGGCCCACTATATTCTTTCTGTTTCTTCCCTGTCTCCCTTTTCTCATAAAACCACAGTTCAAGACCAGGTGCATGCATCTTTGATTTAGTCCAATGTGGCCTTATTGGCTCCCATTTTATCTCATTTTATTTATTTATTTTTTCTGCCCTGGAGATTTAATTCAGGGCCTTGTGGATGTTAGGCAAGAGTTCTATCACCAAGCCACACCCCAACCCTTTCTCTCATTTTGAATTGACATTAGTGATCCCCTGGACAAATAAACAGACCTAATTTAAGGAATAACTCTCTTAAAAACTGTTGTAATGTGGGGAGTGGTGATGGCACATGCCTGTAATCCCAGCAACTCAGGAGGCTGAGATAGGAGGATCACAAGTTCAAGGACAGCCTCATCAAATTGGGGAGGCCCTAAGCAATTTAGTGAGACCCTATCTGAAAATAAAAAATAAAAAGGGGATGTGGGTCAGTGGTAAAACACTTCTGGTTCAATGAGAGAGAGACACCAAGAGAAGAAGCTATGTGAAGATGGCGGCAGAGACTGGAATGATGTGCTGATATGCCAAGGAGCACCCAAGATTGTTGTGAGGATGGCACAGACTGGATTCCCCTCAGAACCTCCAGAAGGAGCAGCACGCTGCTGACGACACCTTGACATTGAACTTATGGCCTTCAGAATTGTGAAAGAATGAGTTTTTGTTGTTTTAAGCCACCCAGTTTATGGTGCTCTGTTAAGACAGCCACAGGAAACTAACACACTCATCTACTTCCAACTCATTCTCAACTCAGGGCCTTTGCATTAGCAAATGTCCTTCCCTGAGATTTTCTCATTGTTTGCTCTGTCTTGTCATTGAGGGCTCTGCTCAAGGTTACTTCCTTCTAGAGGCCCTCCCAGTTATCCCCACCCCTGCACACCTGGCACACCGGAAACGCCTGAATGAATGAATGAATGAATGTGAGTTGTTGGGTTCCAAACACTTCAAACCTCCTGGTCCCCTGGAAGAACTGGAGTTTCAACACTGGGCTTGGTGCTGACTCATATATCTGAGGCTGGGGAAGTCCCGACTTTCCTCTGAGCTCATCTCTGCTCTCTCTTCTTTAAGAAGAGATCCCTTCTTTTAACTTATTAGATTCTTGGTGACAGATGAACCTCTTTGAGAAACTCAGAAGTGTCTTTCTTCATTTATTTTTTAATATAAATAACTGAAGTGGTTCTTTCATTCTTTATTTTTGTGTTGCTGGGGATTGAACCCAGGGCCTTGTGCATGCAAGGYAAGTAYTCTATCAACTGAGCTATATCCCCAGTCATCTTTCTCCATTCACTGCCATTCATAGAAGGCTAGGAGTCTGCATATCTGCATTCCTTATCTGCATCCCAGTCAGCAAGCCTCATCTTGTTGATCAAGGAGTGACARAAGATGGAAATGAAATCGTAACAGAAACTTGGACAGATCACAGACCCAAACCAGTACATCTCCTTTCCATCTCAGAACAGGGAACTGAAACTATTCCCTAGGAAGCTCTTTCTTCCCCCTCTTACAGGAAAAAAATCCCACTCTGGTCTGATTCCTTTTTAAATACACAAATACCAATTGCAGTACTCACCAAACTCTAAATAAATAAATAAATAAACAAACTCTAAATAAAAGGTGCTCTTGCAATCTTTTCTGCACATCCTTCTAGATTCATTTGTTTTTATTTCTTCCCAGGCCTTTCCTGACCCAAGACATGGGTAATTTTTACTTAGCTGTCTTATAATATAATTCAGTGCCTGTGTCCCTATGTTTTTTTTCCTACCAGGACATAGTTAACAGCCCATAAAGGTCTCTGCTTAAGTAAGAAGCCGATTTCTGTGAACCATAACCCAGACATGCAATACCAGACTGTGTCTCCTATCAAAATTTATTAAAATGGTAGATATTATTATAAGTACAGAAACACAAGCAAACAAACCMGGAGGATTCTTCCCTCCTAACCAGGGGGCAGCCACATATTTCCCTTTTATGACAGAAGCAAACAGGTGGGAAGCAGTTCTCTTCCCTGAAGCCTTTTAACTGCTCCATCTTCAAATTACTGTAAATGAGAGAAGAATGGATTAGTTACTGGTTGTGGCACAAATGCCATTCCTTATCCCTCAGAACACTGTTCCGCTCAGTCCCTCCTGGGGATAATCCCTTTCTGACCACCTCTGGAAACTCAGATATTAACCAAAGCTTAAGAATCTCTTCACCTAGCCCATTTCTGCTAAACATGGCTGAAAGGTGAATGTGCCCATGGAACTCAGGTGACCTGCTGGCTTGCTTAGCCATGCCTGAGTCCCCTCCAGGAGCAACATAACTCCCCTCCAATCTCTTGACTTTTCTTATCTCTCTGAAGTTCACGAAGAGGCTAGATAGTGCACTAGGAGCTGAGGGTCACCCAAGTCTCAGTCTAGGGAAGGTAAGAAGCCAACGAGTCACAGGTACYGATGGGCAGCTCCTTGGCTTCATCCCAGTGCAATAGAAAATGGACAATCAGCCATTGTATGGAGTATGAAGATGAAGYAGAAGTTTGGAGATGAAGTAGAAGTTTCAAGTGCCTTTACTATCCGTTCCTCGAGATTTCTGTGATCGCACCTTGCAACCGAGCCTCTGGCTCTGCCGTGCCATTTCTCTAAGTATGGAGATGAAGTATGGAGACGAAGCAGAAGTTTCAGGTGCCTTTACTCTCCGTTCTTCGAGATTTCTGTGATCGCACCTTGCAACCGAGCCTCCGGCTCTGCCGTGCCATTTCTCTAAATCTGATTCTCTGAATTTGAAAGTTCCAGGGAACTGGAGGCCAGGTCTAGTGTGCAACATCCAAACTGTTTCTCCAGAGATCCTGGTTCTTGGTGACAACCTCCCCTCTTGGCGAGGTTATTTAACGAGAGGATGGGGCCAGAGAAGAGGGGCTCTATGGTTCACTGCSGTCAGCCATTAAGGCGTTCGGGACACTCCTGGTAGTACTCATGTCCTGCGTGAGCTCCAAGCTGGTGCTGCGGTTATTATCTGGCTTATCAGGTGTCTTCTTGCCGAGGCAGCGGTTGATCAACATGGAGAAAAAGTTGGGAAAGGATGGGCTGGAGAAGTAGTACACAAGTGGATCCAGCATGCTGTTCATGTAGGTGAAGCTGAGGGTGATGAAAAAGGCCAAGTCAACTGAGCGGTACACTTCACAGTCCTGCGTCCCCGAGGTGTACAAGAGCCAGAAGATGCGGATGCGCACGGCCACGCTGGGCAGGAAGCAGATGATGAAGACAATGGCCACCACCAGGATGAAGTTGATGGCTCTCTTGATCTTGGCATGCTTGTCCAGTTGTCTCTGCCGCAGGCTCCAGATGATTTTGGCAGAGCAGAACAAGATGATGCCCAGGGGCAAGAAGAACTCCAAGAAGAACATGGCATCGTGCCACCGGAAGGTTTTGCAGATGCTAAAACTGCTGCASAGATTCGCGTCCCCATTCTTGGTCAACATGTTTTTGTAGAGGAGGTGAACCGTCAGGCCGATGGTGACACCCCACAAAAAGCAGGAGATGATGGCCGCTGTCCGATTGGAGATYTTGTTCAGAGAGTGGTGAGGATGGACCACCCGGAAATACCTGTCCACGGCCACCACCGTGAGGAAGATGATGCTGCCCTGGCGGTTCATGGCCAACATGAAGAGCATCAGCCGGCAAGGGATGTCCCCAAACTTCCAATCCCACTTCCTCACATAGTTGTCTGTCAGGAACGGCAGGCAAATGATGAGGAGAAAGTCAGCCACGGCCAAGTTGAACAGGAAGATCCGGCTGGATTTCCAGGACTTAAGGTGGAAGCAGAATATCCACAGAGCAAGGCCATTGCCCAGGAGTCCAAACACAAACTCCAGCCCCAGCACTGGTGGCAGCACATTGGCAATGAAGTCGTCCCGGAACACACAGCAGCTCTTGTTGTGTATCATCAGAGAATGGTTCTGCGAGTGCTGCCGGTTCATGGGTGGATCGGGTCTGTCCGCTCCAGAGCGCCTCACCTAGCGAATGCTCAAGGAAGAAGTGTGTGGTGAAYGTGTGGTTCAGCATTTGCCTTTATGTCATGTCAGGGTGTTGAAATAGATGACTGAATGGTTACCAGGAAACTACGAAATCACTTAAAAAAAAAAAAAAAGGCTAGCTTGGCTCTTATGCAACCTGCTGTTTGCATAAACAAGTAATAAAAAGTCCTCTGGGCATACAAGAACCCACAAATTTTTCTAAATGTAAAGGATAAGTTCAGGCAAGCCAAATGTCATTTGCAAATTACTAAAAAAAAAAAAAAATGGGGACATCCCTTTGGAAGGCTGTATGTATGGACCTGACTAACTGCTCAGCACTGGAAAATTAATTGACAGTCTTAGGTTTGTTTACATAATTGACAGATCAACAATTGCAATAATAATGTCCCTGTGCCAAACAGTATGGTTTTCCAGAATCCTTCAGAATTAGCATGAAATATTAGCATGCATCTGATTTAAAAAATGGTAGCATGCACGTAATTGCTTTGGGAAAGACTGACAAGACCATCTTTGGCCATTTTACCAGTTTTATGGGTTAATTTGAGCTTTTTTTTTTTTTCCTATGCCACTTCTGTGTAAAAACGTGAATTGCTTTTCCACAATAGAATTCTGCAATTAATCTCTGGTTAGGGGGTAAAAATACTACTTGAAAGCATAAAATTTCATAAGATGTTTGAAAACTTAAGCCCAGGTTGGTTGTCAGTGGTATGTTAAATTAAGTTGGGTTTTTCTTGTTTGTTTGTATTAGATTTTGATATGCTTCCATGCTAAATTAAGTGATTTATTTTTAAGKATGTGATTTTTTATAATGAATAAACTTAATTTTTTTAGAGAAGTTTAAGGTTCACAGCAAAATTGAGTAGAAAGTATGGAGAATCCTTATATATGCTCTGCCACCCACCACCATATAACCACCACCCCCACCGTAAGCACATGATATTTTTTTTTTAAATATTTTTTTAGTTGTCAATGGATCTTTATTTTATTTATTTATTTTTATGTGGTGCTAAGGATCGAACCCAGTGCCTCACACATGCTAGGCTAGTGCTCTACCACTGAGCCTCAGCCCCAGCCTGCACAGGATATTTTAAAAACTCTAATTTTTTTTTTTCAAAATTAGGGTTAAAACCACAGGACCTAAGCAGTCATTGAACTTGGCTTTGCAGAAGGACACTATTTCACATACTACCTCTTGGCTTTTTTAGTGGGATTGGGTGTCATCCTGCAGAACATTTCTACCCTTTAGTCTTTGGTTTTATCAAGTTTTGCTGCACAAGAGATTTCTGAATTGTGGTGTTCTACTTTGAGAAATTGGAGATTTATTCCTTTAGCTGCATACTTGGGTTCACTAACAGGGGTTTATAGACCTCTGACAGCTAAATAGAGTAAGGATGACCTGATATTAGACTCTCATCSGACAAGGGACCCTCAACGAGGAAGGTCATGATGAAACTGGGGTTGACAGTGGCACCTATGCACTATATGCTTTGAATACATTGTCTCATCTCATCCTCTGACTGTGGTCTATGAGGGAGGGACTGTTGTGGACTCTGATTTAGAAATGGGGGAAATGGCTGGGCGTGGTGGCGCATGCCTATAATCCTAGCAGCTTGGGAGGCTGAGATAGGAGGATCCCAAGTTCAAAGCCAGCCTCAGCAATGGCAAAGAGYTAAGCAACTCAGTTGGACCCTGTCTCTAAATAAAATGCAAAATAGGGCTGGGGATGTGGTTCAGTGGTCGAGTGTCCTTGAGTTCAATCCCCACTACAGAAAGAAGGAAAGAAAGAAAGGAAGGAAGGAAGGAAGAGAGGGAGAAAGTGAAGCTCAGAGAGGGTGGAAATGTACTCAGGGCCACCCAGAACTTGAGTTAGAATCTGGCACTGACATCCAGTCCCTAACCATTATGTGTCTCTTATGCCATCGTCTCGCCTGTCAGCTTGCACTCTGTTGAGGTTGCATTGTGCAGTTGTATTCAGGTTCTGTGGAAATACTTGGCCATTTTTCCCCCTGTCCTTGCTGCCTGGGAATATTGCATTTTCTTCTTGGATAAATGTGTGCACTTGGGTGACATCACCATTATGAAGTAATCCTGAGGGCCTTTATTAATAAGAAGAGTCAGGAAAACTATTTTCAGTAATTTCTGGGAGCTGGAATTTGCAAGGGATCCTCCTTCCTTGGTTTYACAATTTTGTAATCTTTTAAAATGTTAGTCGCAGGTAAAATTGAAAAAGAAGACCAACAAATATTGTCACCCTTGGAAATTGGGGAAGACTGGAAAAAAGCTGAGCCTTGTTTTGTTTCTATCATTAACCAACTGGGAAACCCCTTAACCCCATAGCTTCCTCTCTTGCAAACTGAGGAGTCAGACAACCTTCTAGCTTCCTTTCRGTTTTCAGCCGAACTTTGATTTTAAAATCAAAGTTCATAACTGTTCAGACGGAATGCAAATCCGAATTTCCTGTTCTCCCCCATATAGTGGGCATGTTTTGTCTTGCATAAGTCCTCCTTTTATAGACTTTTTTTCTTACTTGTGCATGAGCTGTACAGAAACTTATTATGATGAATCATTACAAGAACTAAGACAGTGATTCCACAGACTTTGGCGGAAGCTCCATGACTCTGACAATTAACTTGAATCTCCCGGTTATTCTTTGACAGCTTAAGGTGTGCCAGGGAACTGAATTTTTWAAAAAAATTTTAGTTAAATTTATGTGTGTACTTATTTATGTTTACAGTACTGGGAATTGAACCTCACGCATCCTCCGTAAGCCCCCCACTGCTATGCTACATCCTCAGCCTTTCTTATTTTTTATTATGAAACAGGATCTCACTACATGGCAGAGGCTGACCCTGAAATTGCAATCCTCCTGCCTCAACCTCCTGGGTAGCTGGGATTATGGAAATGCACCACCATACCCAGTTAATTTTATTTTGAAACAGGGTCTTGCTGTAGCGCCCAGGCCAGCCTCAAACTCCTGGGCTGAAAGAATCCTGAGTAGCTGCCTGAGTAGCTAGAACTTCAGATGGGTATTATTAAAAATAATAGRGCTGTGGGGGTGTGGCTCAGTGGTAGAGCACTTAAGTATCTGGCATGCATGAGGCCCTGGGTTCAGTCCCAAGCACTGCAAAAACAAACACAACAGCCACTTAAAAACTAGCTATCATTTGTCAACTACAGGYTGTGTGCCAGGCATTGTAYTAAGAGATTTGCATGTATGGCCTTATTTAATCTTCACAAAAACCCTGTGAGAGAGGTGCTTTTATTATCATCCCCATTTCACAGATCGGAATGCCAAGGCTTAGAGAGGTGAAGTAGTTAACTATTCCATGTCTTTGACTACACTGGGATTCCTGTTTCAGTTATCTACCGCTGTGTAACAAATGGACACAAAACTTAGTGACCTAAAGCAACCACTGTTACCGGGTGTCACCATGGCACACACCTGTGATCCCAGCAACTCAGGAGGCCGAGGCAGGATGATTCCATGTTCCAGGCCAGCCTTAGCAACTTAGTGAGGCCCTAAGCAACTTTGTGAGACCCTGTCTCAAAATAAAAAAATAAAAAAGGGCTGGGGATGTGGCTCAGTGGTAGAGCACCCCTGGTTCAGTACCCAGCAACACACACACACACACACACACACACACACACACACAAAAGGAGTTGGGAAGTTTACAAAGTATATGGAGAGTACTTTAGAGTTTTAAAATATAGTGTTGGGTTTAATGTGAAAAGAAAAGAGAATCCTAAGGGCAAACCAGAATAATCAAATAATCTTGAAAAAGAAGAACTAAGTAGGATAATGMACCCAGCTGCATAGATGAGCTAGGGAGGGGCTGGGGTTTGGTTTAAAGCTCTGCTATTTTAATCTAGAAATTCTTACTACTTTTTGGACAAGCGTCCTCGCATTTTCATTTTGCCTTGGGCCCTGCAAATGATGGAGCCAGTCCTGAAGTCACGAATGTCCTCACTGTGATGATGGAGTCTTGAGTCCTATTGGAACCCTCTGTGGATCAGAAGGAAGTGAGGCCAGAGCTTGATCACAGTGGGGCCAAGTCCCAGCCTCGCCTGACCTGCCTCCCTGTAGACTGTTTTTACTATCATTATTATTTTTTAGTTATAGGTAGACACAATATCTATATTTTATTTTTCTATGATGCTGAGGATTGAACCCAGTGCCTCACGCTTGCTAGGCAAGCACTCTACCTCTGAGCTGCAACCCCATCCCTTATTATTTTTATTTAGTTGTAGATAGACACCATTCCTTTATTTTATTTTTTTATTTTTATGTGGTACTGAGGATTAAACCCAGTGCCTCACACATGCTAGGCAAGTGCGCTACCACTGAGTCCTAGCCCCAGCCCTCCCTGCAGAATATTTAACAACTTGTTTAACCCTGTGTCCCAGAGAGAATCAAAAGCAGACCCTACAGACACCGYATGACTTCAGACACTATCTTAACAATTTCTCTCTCTTTTTTTTAATTTTTATTTTTTTTAGATGTAGATGAACACGATACCTTTTTTTTTTTCAAAATATTTATTTTTAGTTGTACTTGGACACAAGATCTTTATTTTATTTTGTGTGGTGCTGAGGRTCGAACCCAGGGCCTTGCTCTTGCTGGGCAAGTGTTCTACCGCTGAGCCACAATCCCAGCCCAACAATTTTAATTTTAATAAAGAATAAATAAACCCACTCTGACCAGGTATGGTGGTGCACACCTGTAATCCCAGAGGCTGAGGCAGGAGGATCACAAGTTCAAAGCCAGCCTCTGAAACATCGAGGTGTTAAGAAATTCTGTGAAACCCTGTCTCTAAATAAAATACAAAATAAGGCTGGGGATGTGGCTCAGGGGCAAGAGGTTGAGTGCCCCTGAGTTCAATTCCCAGTTCAATTCCCAGTACCCCCCTCAAAAAAAAAAAAAAAAAAGGTATTTTTCATTTTCCCTACATGATCCCTATGGAATATATGGTTCTATACCCTCTACAATTTCATGTAACTCTTCCTTTTTTTTTTAATTTTTWWAAAATTTTTTAAATTTTATTTATTTATTTTTTTCATGTAACTCTTCCTAAAAGACCCCACCAGGGTAAAATATTTCCCTCCAAAGCAACAGTTTTCCTCTTCCAAGTAATTTAAACAGGGCTTTTTCAACAAAGCTACATTCCTCTTCCTTAGGATTTCTGAAGAATGTTTCTTGATGAGATTTAGTTTGTGTCACATTCTATGAACTTAAAAAGGGAAGCAAACTTAGAATCAAGCCCAAGTTTGAGGTTTGGTCTGATGTGTCTTTCCGTTGGTTCTTGCTGGTTTTAGTGAGAAGCTCTGTCCACACACCTGCCCATGAGCTTCTGGGTTGTAGAGACTTTTGTTCCTTCTCTAAGGCAATGTCACAGAGTCTTCCAAACCAAAGTCACACAGGAAAGAGACTTTCTTTCAAAACACATTTTTATTAAGATGAAGCAACAAAGCAGCAGCCCAGGAAAGAGTTAAAAATAGAATTTTAAAAGCAGAAGCAYGGGGTTTTCACAGATTTCTGTCGGGAGGCTTGTGGTCCTTTGATGCTGATAGGAATCCCTGCCTTAGCCAAGCACAGTGGCGCATGCCTRTAATCCCAGGTACTGTGGAGGCTGAGGCAGGAGGATCATAAGTTCGAGGTCAGCCTGGACAATTTAGTGAGGCATCATCTCAAAATAAAATWAGAAAAAGGGTTGGGGATGTGGTTCAGTGGTAGAGTGCTGTGCCTGGCATGTGTGTGACCCTGGATTTAGTCCTCAGTATTAAAAGAAAAGAAAAGAAAAGAAAAGAAAATTCCTAACCTTAACCCCTCCCTGGGCTGAGCAGCTGCAGAGTAAGAGATAATGGGGTGGCTACTTAGGGGCTCATAACCACAGGGAGATCACTTCTGTGTCTCAGTTTCTCTCTCTCTCTCTCTCTCTCTCTCTCTCTCTCTCTCTCTCTCTCTCTC